ATCGAGCCGTGCATGTGGGCAAAACTTCCACCCAAACCGCCAAATTAAGTTTTCAAGTGGGTAAAGAAGCTGTCCGTGAAATGGGTGCTGTGGGTAGTGACGCACCACTGATACTTTCCTGAGGGCAGGAGTGTGAAGAGGGTGTGAGTTGGGTGGCTGGTGTCCCTGATGATGGACTTGACCCTCTTCTGGCAGCAGGAGAGATAGATGGATTACAGGTGGGGAAGATCTGTGTTGATGATTTTTGAGGCTTTTTGGACAGTCCCTTGTGGAAATTTGAGAACCTGAGTAGCTGTATTTCCCAGCCACAACATGATGCATACAGGCATGATGCTCTCAATGGTGCAGTGGTAGAAGTTCACCAGGATTTTGGCCTCCTCAGGAAGAACAAGATCTGTTGAGCCTTCTGAAGTTGCTGACTGTCTCAAAGGGACATCCATTGATGAGAGGTGCGGAGTGAACGCCTTGTGTTTTGCCACAAAGTCATGAGTGAATAGACTGTAGAGCATCCTGACGTAGGTGTTCTTCTTTTTTAAATGTCCCAGAGCAGTGTGCAGGGCGAGTGTGATGGTATCATCCAAAAATCTGTTATGCCAGAATGCAAAATGGAATGGGTCCAGGGTTGAGGGGATGATGAGGTCGATCCACGACATAACCAGTTTTTCCAGGTACTTTGTGATTACAGAGGTTAAAGCGACAGGACAATAGTCGTTTAAGCAGGAATTAAATCAAAGTTTTAAATTTCTAGGTGTGTAGTGAACTACAGAGAGCAGTCAGGAATCAATCAGTGGAATGAAGGCATGTTCTACACAAGCACCTCAAAGTGCACTTGCCAGTAATGCCAAAACACCACAACAGTCATAAAAGCATATAAAAGGTTGAAGTTAGAAATAGTAGCCCGCATAAATATCAGCTGAAATAATGTATGATGCGATTATATAGCTGGGGAGGATTCTTAACTGACCTTTGCACTGTATAATCTCCCACATTGTCTTGGAAAAATCTCAAGAATGATTGTTAACTTGACAAAACAGGTACATGTCTAGAAATCCAGTGGACGACTCTTTGCCTTCTGACCACAGACATCTGTCCTGCCTCTGTTCTGAATGGGCTGCAGCAGACAGAGATGGAACACCACCCTGGTAACACACATGAGTGCAAAGATCAGAAAGACACAGTCCCACTCCAACTCAGGAATGTGGAGCTTGCTTCACATGTTAATTATGCTTAGTACTACATCATCCAGGGACCCATACTTCTGATCATTTAATTGCTCCTGGCTAAATTCTTAAGGGGATACTAACTGAAAAGAGCTCCTGTTATGTTGAGCACAAGCATAGTCCTGCCTGACGTATGAACTTATAACCCTTCACTGTTCAGCAGTACTCAGTGTCATTCTTTACTCCATGTTGCAGGCGGTTGTCCAGCGTCAGGAGATATGCAATGCTGTTAACACAATGTGAAATGCTATTGACACATATGGTTACAGGGTTTTCAGCTTTGGTCAGCTGGCTATCATGAGATTTTCAATTCGAGAAAAGTCCACACACTGATTTATTATGTATGTAACCTTAAATTATAGTCTTTGATCACCTTATAAATAGTCTGTAGGGTTTGCAAACTCCCCCAATGCTTTTGATTTAGCTAATTTTAGGTTATAATGGAATAATATAGATTTGCCATAAGATTGCATGAGGATGAGAGTCAGAAAGGGTGAGTGTCACGGCAAGTGTGTGAGATTTGGCGACACTGTGGTTACATTCTACAAGAAAAACATGGCATGACTAAAGGAGAAATACAGGCATGTTCCTGACAGCCTGGTGCTCCAGAATATTCCAAGTACCTGTTACATTCAACATTCCCTTCATTGTGTTTTGAACTCAGAGTAAGATGTCAGTGTTTGAGAGGGCCTCCTGATTCAAAGCACACCCCATACAAGTCCCATGTGTACACAGGTTTCAGTATTAACTTATTAAAGTTAATAACTTAATACCAGATTTAATGCAATATGTTACATCAACATTTGGTTTTTGGCGCTGTAAGTTTGGGCGCCCTTGCATAAAATGTCAGTTACTGTGAATAGTTAAGTGAGCAGAACCACCAAAAGGCATAAACCTTCATTAGCTTGTTAGGACAAAGGCTTGTTCACAATCATTCGGAAACCCCAGGTGATGCACATTCCAAAGATGTTTAAATTCTCTGACTCTTCAAGCCTTGTCCCAACAATCAGCAGCCATGGGTTCCTCTAAATAGCTGCCTATTTAGAAAATAATTGATGCTCACAATGCAGGAGAATGCTACAAGAAGACAGCAAAATGTTTCCAGGTAGCTGTTTCCTCAGTCCATAATGTTATTAAGAAATGGCAGTTATCAGGTCAAGTGGTGGAGGTCAAGTTGAGGTCTGGAAGAAAAAGAAATCTTTCTAAAAGTATCGCCCATTGTATTGCTAGGAAGGCAAATAAAAAACCCCATTTAACTGCAAAAGACCTCCAGGAAGATTTAGCAGACACTGGAGTGATGGTACACCTTTCTACTGTGCACAAATATGACCTTCATGGTAGAGTCAGCAGAAGAAAACCATTCCTGCATCCTAGCCACAAAACTCAGTGTCTGAAGTTTGCAAATGAACATCTAAACAAGCCTGATGCACTTTGGAAACAAGACCTGTGGACCAATTAAATCAAAATGGAACTTTTTGGCCACAACGTGCAAAGGTATGTTTGGAGAAAAAAAAGGGTGCCAATTCCAGGAAAATAACACCTCTCCAACCATTAAGCACTGGAGTGGATTTGATCGTGCTTTGGGCTTGTGTTGCAGCCAGTGGCACAGAAAACATGTCATTGGTAGAGGGAAGAGTGGATTTGAATAAATTTCATGCAGCAGAATCCAGCAGCAAACATCACACCATCTGTAAGAAAGTTTAAGCTGAACCGAAGATGGGTCCTTTGAGGATGATCCGAAACACAGCTCAAAATCTCCAATGGAAAACCTCAAGAGGCGCAAGCTGAAGGTTTTTTCATGGCCCTCACATTCCCCTGACCTAAACGTCATTGAAAATCTGTGGAAGGATCACAAAAGAGCAGTGCATGCAAGACAGCCCAAGAATCTTGAACAATTAGAAGCCTTTTGCAAGGATAAATGGGCGAAAATCCCTCAAGAATTGAAAGACTCTTAGCTGGCTACAAAAATGTGATACCTGCAAAGCAGGTGTTACTAAGTACTGACCATGTCGGGTGCCCAGACTTTTTTGCTTCTGGCCCTTTTCACTTTTGTACCTGTGAATGATGCAAAATATTAAAGAAATGTGTCATCTTGAACTTTATGCCTTTTAGTGATCAGCTCATCCTCTGTTCACTTTATTCACAGTAACAGACATTTTAAGCAAGGGTGCCCAAACTTTTGCATGCACTGTCATTCAATGTGCCAAATTCCAAATAACAAAAATCTTCTTCTAATAGAATTTGTGTTAGTTTCACATTTAAAGTTTAATGTTCTGTTCTGTTCATGCTCCATCAGCCTGAACATAGTATTGGCTACCAGCCAGTGCTACCCATAGCTGAATCCACTATATAGGCAACTTGTGCTGGCACCCAGGGGCCCTGTGTGTCAAGGGGCCTATGAATGTGCCTCATGAGAAACTGTAATTGGTAGAAGAGGGCAGAAGTTAGCCTATGAAACACCAGCAGACACTGACTGTCACTTTCTTACAGAAAAAGAACGTGTAGGTGGTCAATAGGATTTGTAGAATCAAAATGGATCTTACTAGAATCCAAGAGCCCAATGGGGAAGCCAAAAGAAAACAAGTAAGGGGTTGAATTGCGTAAAAATATGATATGCCAGAATAAACATGTTTGTCCATTTATCAAATCAGGATGATGTAAACAGAAAATTGTGTTAGCGTAGATGTTGTACAGTTAACTCAGATGTTAACTCAAAAATTGCTAAACAACAGAGCTGCTGCTAATAGCTGGCTAATGGAGTGTGGGGGGCCTTATTGCACCAGTGCCCCGAGGCTTGTAGAGGTCTTAATCTGGCCATGCTGCTACCATTTCTCTGAATTGTCTGGACAGCGATTGGTTCCATTTTGAGTTTCCATGAGCCTTCGTGGCTGTTCTGTTCGATGTGCATCTGAGGTTCTTTGCTGAGATGTGTTCAGGTTATTAGTGAATACTTGTGGTTGTATGTAGTTGTGCTGTACATTGGATTAGTATTGATTAAGTGTCTGGATGGGCCACACTTAAGGAATATGGGTGGCCTGCTTGTCACATAGGAAGCAAGTCTGGTAGATTTGAGTGCCGAATATTGCAATACTTCCTTCACACCAAGAACGAAACTGCAAGTGTTTATTGTGAAATTTGTTTTTGAGCCCCCATGGTTATAGTCACAGTTCTCTTTTTAAGACAGCAACTACACCCACCGAATTCATCATCCCATCCACACCCTTTACTATGCCAAAGAAGGACACTGCACAGCATTTTAAAATAGTTTTACATAACGTTTTTACTTTTTTTTTTTTTTTGCAAATTCCCATGCAAATACCCCTGGTATTCATGCAAGCCACCTCGGGAAGGATAACGTGAAAAATAGCGTGTCCTAATTTTATTCGTATGTCGTTATTCTTTCGTTGCTGTTTATTTATACTTGATTTCTTTTTCATCATTAATTAATCTAAGAAATCGTCATACAAGGGCAAACGTGTACGTGGCAGGACTAGTCTATGTTCGTGGCAAAATTATTTGATTGGAAAAAAGCACTATTAAATGCCATGCCCGTTGTAAAACTGCATTTGTTGACCCTGAGTATTATTTTCCTTAACCTATGGGCACATGGGGTGATTTTACCTACAATTCGTCAACCGGCAACTAAACTCTTTGTGTACAAAGCGCCAGAGAAATGACCGAAAACCACACTGCAGTGTTGTTTAAGAAATCGTCTTTATGAAAACAGTCCAAGAAACGGTGATAGCGAAACAGTAGTACTATGTGACAAACCACTTGAATTCAAATCACGCAATTTGAAAGTACGTTACAATTAGCGTACAAAAATTACAACGTAACTTTTAGACAATGCAGATGAATGAGTTTTTCTGGAGATTAGTGATTTTCTTCGTGAACGAGGCTATATTAGATATATGAAAATACAGTTTGCAGTCGTTCCTTTTCTTTTCTTTCCTGTTCTTCCCCCCGTCTTCCATTGGACGCCTTCTTCCTCCCGTCCCATTCTCTCCTCCCATCAAACTTTTTCGAATGTAAAAGTCTTACAGCCGAGTTGGAGCGGGATAGAAGGACGTATTACAGGATAATTAAACAATACGAGGTAAAATGCATACTTTAAAACTAGGGTAAAAAAAAAAAAAGTACTAGCCGATGTATTTTTTTTACTACCGAAAATGTGAAACGCTTTTAAGGATATTTATTGAGAATAAAGAAACACGCTGTTCTCCGACAATAGTACTCACACGTGTGGCAGAAGCTATACTCCTGAAGGAGAGCACTGAAGATAAAATATAGACGTATTTTAAGTTTGGAAGAATTAACATGGTGGATAAGGGCCCTTTATTGACTTCAGGTATCATTTTTTACCTGTCTATCGGGGCTGCGATATTTCAAATTTTGGAAGAACCGAACTGGAAGCGTGCCGTGTTCAACTATACTGCTGAAAAGGAAAGAATACTCAATGACCACCCTTGTCTCAAAAAAGCGGACTTGGACCGAATTTTGAAGGTATTTGCTTTTTCCTGTGTATATTGAATGCTTGCCTTATGTTACACATCAGCATAAATATAAGTGCTGTTTGTCACATAGTGGGATATAAAAATCCGTTATTTCTATGGGTAAACAGTAAATTAATAAATAATCTGTGACGAATCTTTTCGTAAATTCAGTTTGTATTTGGGCGGCTGGGACCATAATGGTGATGCTATATGAAAAGCATTTAGAACAATGTGGACTTAAAAGTCCATGGAAAATAAGTCTTTTCTTTGGCATCGTCAATGGGAGCGGTTTGGTCAGATGGTCTATAAACACTCTACACATAGACTTCTTGCGTTGGAGACGAGTGGAAAAAGAAATGGCAGAGAACTTGACTTAGAAATGTTACCCTTTACTTATTCGGCCGGTGATTAAGCAATATGTGGGAAAATAAGGGTATGTAATAAACACTTGAAGGGAGGACAAAACTGTTACTATTCAACAAATGGAAACAGAAGAATACCAAGAGCCTCATTATCTTGTATTTTCCTGGCCTTTCTTCTTCTTACTATGTAGCTAATTATGTAGCTCTAAAATCAAATTTTAATTGTGGCACTAGTTTCAAGTAGCAGTAGTAGTAGTAGTTTTAATAACAATATTAATCATAATTATTATTATAATCATCATTATTATTATTATTCTAGAAAAAGCACATCTAGTAAGCTGTTATGTCGGCCTGTGCATTTGTTTTCTGTGGAGGGCCAAATCCGAGTTTCACCATGTGAACAGGGAGTATTTCTCATGTTCTGTGAATTAGATTTTACTTTTTTCATCAATCAATGGAGACAGTGCATGTTCATGTTTAACTTATTTCTTTATTATTAATACTGCTCAAAAATCTGTTCCTCCTCATCAATTTGAAAATAAGAAGATTATTTTAAAGATCACACTGGCCAGTAAGAATTACTCATTAGGCCAGCTTTTGCCCCAGGTTTCTTATTTATTTTGTGGTCATTGTTGACACACCACAGTGCACAACAACAAAATGTGTCCTCTGCATTTAACCCATATGTCACATCATGACATAGCAGGGGGCAGCTAATTCAGCAACCAGGGAGCAGTGTGTGGGGGCGGTACCTTGCTCAGGGTACCTCAGTGGTGCCTTGCTAGTTGGGGATTTGAACCTGCAATCTTTCAATTACAAGTCTGCATCCCTAACCATTAAGCCACCAGTGGCCACATTTTTTGTCCTTGTAAATCTTCTCACATAAGTACTTATGCTGCATCTAAATAACACTGTTCTGGGTCCAGTCTATAGCTTTGCGAGGATTTATGAAGGCAAACAGAGTAATGCCTTGAAGCAGGGCCGCTGCTAGAGATTTTGGGCCTCATGAAAGCATATCGTATTCCCTACCCCCCCAGTCCAGACCAATCCAGTTATTTTCCAATCTTTTAGGGCCCCTGTTACTCAGGGGCCCTTGGAATCATCCTAACTTTGCTCCAGTCACAGCGCCCCTGGGAAGAGAGCCCTTTATGAAGAACCTCAATGAATGAATATTGCACCTATTTTAAAATCATTGCTGTTTTTTTAAAGAGCTATTTCAGGCCAGAAAAAAAGCAATCCCACTAAACAGACTTTTCTTTCAGCATTTCGGTCTGAGAGAATTATATCGATGTCCCTGACTGGCTGGTTAGGTATAGATTCTAATGTACTAGAGTGCAGGATAGCTTTAAGCGTTAAGACACTTGCCAGCTGTGAGTGACAGCCATATACAGTGTCTTGAATGCTTTGGTGTGTTTAATTGGAAATTGCGTCATTGGTATCTATTAAGCTGGAACCGGTGGTGCGATATGGAAGCCACATGTTGTGACAAGCAGGTTATAAGGGCTTGTCTTACATGTTCTAACAGTTACTTAACTTGTTATACTGGATTCCAGTGCACTGCTGCCAAATAAAATACTGGTGATAAGAACTAAACCATAAAATATTCTGTTCTTTTTCTCTGTTTATTTTTTCTGGACTTAGAGATATGGATTCCTTAAAGTATTTTATTGTAGCTTTTTTTCCCTCACTGTCTTTGTGTCACGTATACGGTTTTACATTTTTTTTCTACACTACTTGCTGGGTGGTGACCAAGCAATACAAACAGAAGGTGTGTCGGACGCGGCGGAGTGACTTGAGGGCACGGTTTTCAGGCACGCCCTCGAGAGCCGTGGTTTCCGTATACGGCGGCTCTATTGCCTCATCTTTGTTTTGGGAGAGCACTGAGGTTTTATGGTACTATGATGAAAAGTGGTGTCATAACAAAACAAAATGGAATGTATTGGAAGGTGGACAGCAGCATTAGCAAAATAGGAATAAATCTGATATGCTACAGTTATTTATATTATAACTTTCAACAAGTTGATGGCACCGAAAACAGTGTAGTTTAACACACTGAATCACATTGCCTAGTGGGAGCCCACCAAGTTCTGCTGCCCTGCTAGCACATTCACCAATGGTGTTTAAACTTTGCCCTCACAAAATAACTATTTACATGTCCTGCATTACGACAATAGTGTCTGACTCAAGTAATTATTCTAAATAGCATTGACTACTGTACTCTCAGCAGTGGCATTGTGCCACTGCCAACCCAACATTTTGCAAAAATGTAACTTAGAAATGATTTATTCAGTCAACCAATCCCGTGCCTACATCTGCACATTAAGTTGTCACATCCTGACATTCATGACTCACATCACAGCGACAGTAAGGTTAGCATGTTTGAATGTATAATAGTTACATAAAGTTTCAAGAACATTCATATCTAAATAATATTATGTATATTTTTTATGTCTTATGTGTGGTTTTGAAACGGTGCCTACCTAAAATTGCACAATGCCCCTGACTCCCAGAATACTTTTCTCTAACCAGGAAGTTCAACCCCATAGCTACAATATTAGATAAGTATTTTATTGTCTCCGCTAGGAAGTTTAGGTAGTTTTCACATACCCCAGTTAAGCCTCTGTGCCTGTGATCAGAAGGTCGCTGGTTCAAGACCAGTCTCAGCACATCTGTAGGTCCTTGAGCAAGGCCCTTAACCCCCAGCTCCCTGGGTGCAGCAACCACATCAGGTGGCTGCCCTTCACAGCCAACTTGCTCTTACTTACAGAGAGTAAGTTGGGGAAGGCCAAAGAGAATTTCCTCATGGGGATCAATAAAGTATCAGTTATTACCCCATCTTGCTCCTATAAGAGACACATACATACACAGGTGAGACCAAAGCTGGTAGTCAAGCAAAAGGCCCCATCAGCTCCCAGCAGTTGGGGGTAATGGTCTTTGTTGAGCATTCAGGGCCTGCGAGTGACACAGGACTTGGGAGTGATGCGGTGGCACAATAATTAGCACTGTTGCCTCACACCCCTGAGACCTGGGTTCGTGGTTCCATGTCTGTGGAGTTTTTCCTAAGTTGTCATGGGGTTACCTCCGGGTATTCTGGATTCCTGCCCCAAAAACATGCTAAGGTGAATTGAAGTTACCAAATTGCCCATCGGAATGAGTTTGCCCTGCATTGGGTTGACACTGCATCCTGGGTTATTCCCTGCCTTATGCCTATAGCTTCCAGTATAGCCTCCAGACCCCCCACCCCCACAACACTGATATGATGCTTTTGGTGTAGAGGCTGGCCAGTAGTTTGCTTCCACATTTCACCCAAGAAAAGCAAGGCAAGAACTTGACCTCTTTTAGCAGTCTGCTGTATGAGAGATCGCAGCATGTATGAATGCATTTGATGAAGCAGTTGGGATGCCAGGAGGGTGTGTTTTGGTGCAGGCATGAGCCTGTGTGTGTCAGTGGGAGGGTGTGAAGGCATTTGAGAGTGGGGGTAGCTGGAACGCCTGCAAAGTAAATGCATTAGTCACAGTATTGATAGTCTTATATCTGGATAAATCTGGATATTATGCCACAAACTTCCTGCTCTCCTAATGTGGTTGTCAATTGTGTTGTATTAAGTGATTCATTGTCTAATAACTACCACTTTTCTGTTCCTTTAATCAAGTTATACCTTCTGTGCCATTACACTCTGAGAGATGTGTAAGGAACCGGAATACCCTGCAACAGTGTTTAGGTTGGGTGCCCATCCAACCCTTGATGGAAGAGGCCCTCAGCTGATTAGGAACGCCACGCTGATGTTTATCTCTTTTAGTTGGTGTCAGGGGCCGCAAGTCAAGGCATCACTATTGTTGGTGACGGAACATTACCGAACTGGGACTGGCGCAATGCTGTCGTTTTCTCGGCCACAGTCATTACCACGATTGGTGAGTGTCACTCTAACACTTAGTCTGAATGGCTCAAATGTCTGCTCCATCCATATATCTCCCAGCTGCTTATCCTGGACAGGGATGCAGGTGGACCTGCACCGTATCCCAGGGACAGTGAAGGGGAACACACTGGACAGGGATGCAGGTGGACCTGCACCGTATCCCAGGGACAGTGAAGGGGAACACACTGGACAGGGATGCAGGTGGACCTGCACCGTATCCCAGGGACAGTGAAGGGGAACACACTGGACAGGGATGCAGGTGGACCTGCACCGTATCCCAGGGACAGTGAAGGGGAACACACTGGACAGGATGCCAGTGTGTCACAGGGCGAACACTCTCACTTTGAGCAATTTAGAGATGTTAGCTGCATGTCTTTGAACTGCGGGAGGAAACCGGCATAGCTGGAGGAAACCGGCCAAACACGTGGAGAACATGCGAACGGCACACACACAGAGCGGGGGCGGGATTCCCACCCACAGCAGTGGAGATGTGAGGCCACTGTGCTGCCTTCCAACGTATGTTGTATATTATATTCATAAAGATGACTTTATTATGTTTTATGTTACAGTTCTCTTGGTATATATATATTTTTACACATAGTGACAATTATAGTGATTTATTACAAATATAATATTTTTATAATCTGCATTAAAAAATAACATGTTTTATTCATTTAAGTTATACAGGAAAAAGACTATTATAAATTAGTTGCAATTAGGCCTAAACAAGCAAAGTCTGGGAATGGAACGTATTTATTATAATAAAATATAATAAAATAAGAGTTGTAACAAATTCAAATGTTCAGCTGCTCCAGTTCAGGAATATGGTCTTTCTCAATATTTTTACAGTGGAAGAAAACCAACACTTTTCGTAATACAACGACACTCCTTATGACGGGTTTGGGTTCCAGACAATAGACTAATGCCTTTTTCATTGGGCACTTTTCTATCATCAACATAAATGGATCAGCCATAACATTAAAACCACCTGCCTAGTATTGTGTAGGTTGGTGTAGGTCTCGCCAGAACAGCTCTGACCCATCGAGGCATGGACTCCGTAAGGCCTCTGAAGGTGTCCTGTGGTATCTGGCACCAAGACATTAGCAGCAGATCCTTTAAGGCCTGTAAATTGTGATGTGGGGCCTCCATGGATCAGACTTGTTTGTCTGGCACATCCCACAGATCCTCGATCAGATTGAGATCTAAGGAATTTGGAGGCCAAGTCAAAATCTTGAACTTTTTCTCATGTTCCTCAAATTATTTCTGAACAATTTCTGTAGTGTGGCTGGGTGCATTATCCTGCTGAAGGAATCCAGGAACCCAGAATTTTGAGATCAATTTTATATTATCATGACTGACAAAACAAGAATCGTATCTTTATCTCAATAATGCTACTGTCTATCAGATTCATACGTATATTACCGCCTTATCAAATGGTATATTAACTGAGTATGTTATTAGTTGTGAGCAATGTATCATTTATTTGTCCATTTAGATTTTACTGGTAACATTTCACCCCAAAAGCATAATAATGGCATCTTATAAAGATTATAACCCTCAACTCTGCCCTCATTACTCTTCAGCCCCATTGTTCACATGCCCGGCTCATTGTAACATCACAGCCAGTGAAACCTTTGATGTCCAGGTCTTGCTGTAACACCAGAACGCCGTTCCTGAGGGACTTCACCTCCCGTGTCATTGTAGGTTATGGGAACATCGCGCCTAAGACGGCCCGAGGCAGGATCTTCTGTGTCATCTATGGGCTCTTTGGCATCCCCCTGTGCCTCACTTGGATCAGTGAGCTGGGAAAGTTCTTTGGAAGCCGAGCCAGACGTTTTGGAGAGTTCCTTATAAGGAAGGGTCTCACCCTGGTAAGATGCCTCAGTTGAATAACCTGAATAGCAGTTATGAGCTGTTGTCCTTGGTGAGATGTTGACAGTGTTTTATTCTGTATGTTTTTTCAGAGGAAGGCCCAGTTTACGTGCACTGCCATCTTCCTGCTTTGGGGCTTGGTGGTGCACCTGGTGATCCCACCCTTTGTGTTCATGTATTATGAGGGCTGGTCCTATGTCGAGGGTTTCTACTTCTCTTTTGTCACCTTGACCACCATTGGTTTTGGTGATCTAGTGACAGGTAGTGTTGGCCACTGTCTTCCTTCATTTTTTGTGCATAATGTCAGATCTTTCCTAGTTTTTGTGCATAGTTTTAGATCTTTGCATAACAAGGCAATTCTTATAAAAACAGACAGCGTCTCACCCTCTTGTAGCTTCTCTGTCCTTGGTGTAATTGCTGTCTTAAATGTCATTTCAGGATCTTACAAGATCAATGTCCTCCTCTTAGTGAAGTCTATAGCTTACATGCACATTGGAAAGACCAAATGACTGTATAATTTAATGCAAGCAATACTAACAAAGGATGTTTGCAATATTCTGTTTACCACAGTGAAAATTTGACACAGCTCTGTTTGGAAGAAAAGACAATATTGTTTAATGAAATATGCATATTTATGTTCTCTTCATTGTAGCACATGAGATTTTTCCTATTTTGAGATTAACAATGAAAAATGACTTGTAGGACTGTTTCATATAAAAAATATTTAATGAAAAGACAATGTTCCAAACGTTAAGTCTGTTGCCTTAACAGACTCTCTGAGATTTGGCCAGTGGCTGATTATCAAACAGACCAGGACATACAGCTTCTGTTTCTGCAGTGTTGAAATAATTTGGAGTTTTCATAAGTTTCATAAGACTTTCATAACGTTCATTTAAAAAGCTTTTCCATAAACTGTGTCTCAATCTTGCTCCCCAGCTGTGGATCCAAATGCAGGTTACCCAGTCCTCTACTGCTTCTTTGTCCAGTTATGGATCTGCCTTGGCTTGGCTTGGCTGTCGCTGTTCTTCAACTGGAATGTCCACATGGTTGTGGAAGCCCATAAGGCCCTGAAGAAGAGGAGACGGCGCCACCTGGAGGGCCCGCAGCAGCATGAAAAGGTTGAGGCTAAGGCGGTTCTGCCCAACGCCGTTGACATCTTCAGCTTTCTGTCAGAGAAACAGGAGGGTTATAGTGATCATATCAAGCACATTGGTGAAGAGAGGAGGACGGACAATGCCATAGGGACGGTTTTGATTCGCTCCAAGAGTTGCAGTGACAATATTGGTGGGATGAGAATCCTGACATACGACCACTCACTGCGACGGAAACGCCGCCACAGTTTCAGTGAGCACCTCACCGAGGCTTACGCCAAGAGGATGAGTCAAGTCCATTCTGATGTAGGCATCTCCCAGGATTCAGTCAGCATCCAGCTGAATATACATGCTTCAGAGGAGGGAGGGACCATATGGGCAACCAAGGAAAATCAGCCTCTCCTCTCTCAGGAGGATGGCATCTGCCTTGGGAATGAAGAGAACCTCCTGAAGAGTGGCAGTGAGTCTGGAACCAGCGACTCTACGGCGGAAGAAAAAGCCGGGCCTGAGAGCCCAGCAGCGGAGGAAAGAAGCTCAGGCTCGGAGGATTTGGATTTTGAGTTAGTTGATTCAATCTACTACAGCTCCCGAGAACAGCTAGTGAAAGAGGAAGACAAAGGTTGAGACTCTGCTAGCTCTAGCTGTGTCATTAATTTGGATCAGACTTTCTATCCTCAATATTACACAAATTGTATTTCAGTTCAAATGTTTCATTCAAGTGATCAAATATTTTATAGCAAGTGTTGTGTAACAATTTACAACCTAGGGATAAGGCAGACAACAGTCATTTGCGTCACACTTAAAGGGTCACTTTAAGGTCTAATGCTACATCCTGCATGACTGATACATACAAATAAGACTGAGAGTACAATGATATATATTGTCACTGTCCAGTGAAAAACACATCTCCAAAGATCCATTATTTCCGGAGTGGAGAAAAATGCATTTTCTCAGAAACTACTTTACAAAATCAACCTAAAACAATGTGACACCCTTAGCATCACAAACACAAACTCTCCACACAGCCATCAGTAAACTGTTTGTTTTAAATGGACTTACGTGGATTGTTTTCAGCCAGGCAAATCTAGCTATCAACTTTAAGCTGAAATTGGCCATATAAAGCAATCCATGCACACAATCGTCATGAACAGAAATGTTAACTAGTACAAACATAAGTACTAGTTAAATAGATGACTTCACTAAATATTTTTGCATTTATCAATTAGATGTCAAACGCTATCAGTAGACGAGGTGCATAACATTGATAGTAAAAAAATCACAATTGACGAAAAGTGGACAAACGCGGTTTTCATTGGACAGCAGTGATATATTCAGTTATTTATTCATTAAGAAAATAGAGGCTCAATATCTATGGGCTCAATAATACCAATTTTTAAAGCACAAAAGATAATTGTCAACAGCTAGCTGGTGTTGAAAGCTCAGTAAGTTTCTCCCTATTTATAGAGTACCCTGAAAGGCTCTTCAGCACTTTGTCCAATTTCATTTTCTAGATAATGAAAGGAAATCTCAGGTGATCTGTCCACACAGCTAGCTGCATGTTGTGTTTTCACCATGTTGGTGCTTATTACAGCTTTGACAAAATGACAGTCCTTCCTGTGGAGGGTTTTCAGGACTACCCCGAACCCCAAACATTTATCTGGAATTGTTGGAAAGTGCTTTGACTACTGATAGTCATCATTCAGGCATTAACAGAGGGATTCTTGACTCACCAATGAACTTATTCCTTTGACTTGCATTCTTCATTCTTCAGACTTCTCTATAAGATACTGCCTTTCAAAGTGCCACAGAAGGCTCTTTTTGAGGTTAATATAAATCTCTGCAGGGCCTTGGAGATCTCTCACATCATGTAAGTTTCTGATGATCTCGGGTAATATTGAAATTTGATGAAGTTGAGATGTCCACTGTTTATTAGAGCAGTAATGTATTGAGTTGAACATGACAAAGCCAAATGTAGCCACAGCACTGTATTTATGACTTGAATGACTGACAAATAGAAGCTGCGCTTTTGTCCTTATCCAAAGGCAGCACTAAGCTGTGAAATGGTGTTTCCTGCCAGGATATCCGCCACCTTGCCTTGCCACGCTGTATTTTTAGGATAGACTCAGTTGTTGCCTAGCATGGACTGTAGTGCTATATTCATACAATTAATGAAATATTCACAGATAGGAATAGCTCACTCTCTGCTACCCCAAGCCTTTGCAGCCCTTTTTTCCTCAAACTTTCTCCCAAGTCAAGAAACAATGAAGTTTCACACACTAACTCTTCAGATCTAAAAACAGTGCCTAATGGACACACTTCCTCCCTGGGGTTTAAGTAGCAGTAAAGGATGTTCTGTGCCCTGCTTCTGGGTGTTTCTTAGTTTCATTTATACATATACATTTCTTAGTGTGTCTACTGTTGTAAATTTTAATAAAAAGTAATATTTATTCATCACTCCAACAGTATTAATATATTTTATATATACGTGATATTCTTTGTATATATAAAACATTGTTTTCACTTAAAAAAGAAATGTATCACTCCACAAAGTGCCATATGAATATTTTGGTTAAGAATCCTATTGACTGAAGTCACTGTCCCTGATTCTGTCATCAAAAAGATCCTGTCTGAAAAAGAGAAATGTAGCAGATCAGAGCATGGTAGGACATGACCGCCTGTCACAAGCCAAAACTCATCCAAACAATGCTTGGATGAACCAAAAGCAGAAATTTCTGGCTGGTGCTGGTGAAAACCAGACTAAATTTTACACTAAAGTCCTCATGCACGTGGTTGGGTACAGTGGTAGTGCTGTCATAGTTTGATAAGTGGGGAAAGTAACTGCATTCACTGCAGTTAATATAAAGAGTATCAATTTAAGAGATATAAGGATTACTATTTTAAACATGGGACGGTATTTTTGGTATTTTCCTTAATTAGTATCAATTTCATACAATTTGTTCAAAAAGATACCCTTTAATTTAGTATTTTGTTATAAAATATACAAACCTACAAAAAAAGTGTTAGGGAACAAATACTTTCCTATGGATCCTAATTCTGGGGAAGATACACATTTCAATAACATTCAGTAATGTTTTATAAAAAGACAAATACACAGAATTAGCTTCGTTAGATGGTTTTGAATTGAACAAATCAGCCCACTCCAGGATGCTAATAAATTATGGACAAATGTTTAGTGTATTTTTCTTTTGCTGGTTTTTGAATGGTTCCATTCATGTGAGGGGGGTATGGCCCTGCCTTCAGTTCAAATTTTTTATTTTCTGTTTGCCATGTTTAGTTGAATTTGGCTCCATATTGACAGATGACTATTGAATAAAACATTGAAACTTTTTTCACTCTCAGATGTTAATGTTTTATTGTTTGTTTCTCGTGCTTTGCACTGGAAATTGGGTGGTGCCGTAGATTCCTATCTGTCAGAAATTATTTCCAATCGAAAAACACAGAGAGACTTAGGAACTAGTTGATGTATTCAGACCCTTGACCAAGATAAACTGTTGGAATATGTAGTTCTACTAATTATAGTATTCTTTAAAATATTAGTTAAAAATAAGGCAATATAAATACAGTATAAGCAAATATTCGGGGTTGCAAAGTGGTGCCATGGTTAGTATTGCTGCCTCACAGTTCTTGGGTCAGGATTCAAGTCTCCACCCTCGCTCTACATGTGTGGAGCTTGCATGTTCTCCCTGTGTCAGTATGAGGTTTCCTTAAACATTCCCCCTCAGTCCAAAAACATGCTGCAGTGACTTAGAGGTGAAAAACTTCCCATAGGTGTGAATGTATGGTGTATTGGCACCTCAACCTGGGTTTTTCCCTGCTTTGCACCTGCAGCTACAAGAATCCTTCCTCCATTACCCCGCATAAGACAAGCAGGCATAGAAAATGGGTGGATGGGACAATTTTTTTTATTATTATTATATATAAGTATTATTAATGGAAAATTGAGACATAAATTCAGAAAGAACAGTTTTCATGACCAAAGGGAATCTCTGCGGAAAGCCTTGACCTTTGTAAGTACAGAATTAATGGAATTATATGGCATTATGCTGTAACTATACTACAGGAAATTGACTAAACTGGTCAGAAATTTAAATTCACCTACAGAAATTAGACTAAACAATGAACCATTACTCATAAGTAAGTTTTTTTATTTAAGAAATCAAATTATCCCACAAACAACTTTTGAAATTGACTAACTAGCATAATTGGTCATAAGACTAAAACACTTGTTGCCACAAAAGACTGTTAATACAATGCGGTTTTTCGGCTGGTTATTTTAGTCTGGTATTTATCAAATTTGAAATATCATGTATAATACAATACCACCTTCAAGGATCTGTGTTATGATTTCACTACTTAGATCTCATGGACAGTACACAGACTTTTGCTGCGTGTCACAATTTGGTCATAGTATATAAAATAAAACCAGGCTTAGTTCTTTTTGTTAATCCATATTGCGACAAAACCCTTCATAAATTCATATTTCTTGTAACAATTTGCTGAATTGTGTTTCATAAACTAGGCAGTGTGCTTGCTCAGTACACATTACCATGACCACCATTGCCTACACTTATGCTTATGCTTTAGGTTGCAAATTGGTGGCAACACAGTAACACACTAGGTGGCGCTGTTGCCACCATGACATCCCCAATCAGTAAAGCAAAATAAACAAAATGAATATGAGCAGAGTGCCCTGCAATGGACTGGCACCCGATCCAGGGTAAAACCCAACCTTGCCCTGTGTTGCCTCCTACCACCATGTACTGGATCAAACAAAAAGGGATCGATGGACTTTTGTGTAATTGTTATAAATTGTTATAATAATGCTTAATCATAATTATCCTTCCTTCAAAGTTCAACATTGTTGTGAATGTCACAAATATTTATACTCACCCTAGCCATGATTGGGGCTGAGGGTGTGTTCAGCCGTTGCATTCATGATGAAAGCCTACCGTGTTGTACCTCCAGGGCTAATATGCCAAGTTCAGCACCCAAGGGGACACTTTCAGTTGTGGCAATAAGTCCCCCATCTGGCAGCTCAAGCTCATGAAAACAAAGCGACTTTATGGATGTATTCCAGAGCGGAAAAAGCCAGGGATGAAAGGAAACTCCTCAAATCTGAGCACATTCCTCATCCACCTACCTCTGAAGCTACAGAACGGAGGAAGAAAACCTCAATACTAACCCCTAAATAAGACGTAATGAAAAGAACAGCTTGGAATTTACTATGGAAACCAGAGGTGGCCCGTACTGGTCCTTTAACGTAATCCAGTGGCATTCAATAAGACATGTCTAACCTCTGAAATGACATTCAACCGCACTGACCTCTTCTTGAATGGTGTCACAAAAATTATTTAGGCTTGTCCCAAAGACACACATAACACAACTCTACAGTATTAGAATATCTATGACAGTGGGGGAGGGCATATTCTGGTTTACATTCTAATATTCATCTGTGGTTCAGCTATTTTCCATTTACTCTACAGCTGTGCCATTGAATGGAAATGTGCCAGAACTTTCTTTAGCTGTTGTCACAAAAGTAGGGGTGTTCAGTTCAGGTCCTTTCTGTTTTCCAACCAGTCATATAATTTATCAAGTTAAGTTTAAGTTTAAATATTAGTACATTAAAACATAAAAAAAAATTTGGAAGCCATGACCTTGATCAGGATAAACAGTTGGATGGATTTACTTCACGTTCACAAAAAGTAAAAATGAAATTTTTAGGATAGTCTATGAGATAAGTAAGCACATACATAGCAGAAATATGTGCTTCTATGAATTGTAGTCTACTAGGATTTCATCCATCCATCTTCTACCACTTATCCTGGATATGATCACAGAAGGCAGGAGAATACCTTAGCTGGGATGCCAGTCCATCACAGATCCAAGATTTCAGCCTTGTACATCACCTAAGATAGCCAAAATCTCTAATTAATGTTCTAACCCATTTTTTAAAAAAAATACAGACTACCAAAACAGCACAAAGCAAAACCAACACGGTAACAACCATGCTTTCTAAAAATTCTCTTAATTAGCAAGGACGTACTGCCATTTTCTTAACAACATATCTGAACCTTTAATTTGACAGAGCACGTTAAACAGTGAATATGTGCAATTACTGATTCAGACCTGGCACACCCACATTACAAAAGCATAATAATGGACATGTTGGATTGTTTGAGGACTGTGATTGATATGTTATTAATGAGCTTTTACTGCATGCTACATTGTATGAAACAAGCATTACTTCATCTACCTGATGGCAACCATTGCATTTTGCTACTGGGACTTACAATTGGGGGCATACATGTGCTGTGAGCTTATACAACAATGGATAAAACTCTATTCTAGGCCTCAGTGTTGCTGCAACTAATTTTCATTCTTTTTAACAAAGGGCTTATGTAAATTGTCTATGTATATGCTATGTAATGCACCTCAACTGATCCCCTTCCCCCAAAGGGCATGTTGATTTTAGCAGCCTGTGTCCATGATTACTAATAGCTCATTACCCATGTTGGTGGTAGGGACAACATACAGTGCCAGCATAACCAGCGACTCCCCAGGACTGCCCATATGAAAAAAGACTGCTATCAAGCAATTTTTTCATTTTAATTACATATGACAACATATTATGTTGTTTATGTTCACTACAAGTCAGTGTTTTTTCTTGTATGATTATGGTCATATTCATACCAAAAACACACTTGACATGTGAGGCTGTAGGAAAAATATAAAACCTCTACAGAAACTTTACTTTTTACTACCTATGATAACATATGGCTTTAGTAGGAAATACATGTTTATCACATGTTGTTTCTTAATAAATTTTTTACTGCTTTTAAATTATTCTAATGAAAGACATGTATAATCTCTCCACATTCAGTTTAATTAAACTATGCTGTCCTCAGAACACAAAGTGAGTGCATTAACTGGAAAAGAAAGTTCAAAGAATTCAAATAATTATGCATAAAAATTTAAACTGTCAAAACTTTTATTTAAAATGCATAGTACATCAATGTAGAACTTACATGTTTGACAAAACATTAATATACATTTTACGTGAATAAAGAATATATATGACTAATGACTTCTTCTTTCGGCTGCTCTCATTAGGAGTCGCCACAGCGGATCATCTGTTTCCATTTCTTCCTGTCCTCTGCATCTTCCTTTTTCACACCAAACACCTGCATGTTCTCTCTCACCACATCCATAAACCTCCTCTTAGGCCTTCCTCTTCCCCCCTTGCCTGGCAGCTCTATCCTCATCATCCTTCTTCCAACATACCCAGCATCTCTCCTCTGTAATTGTCCAAACCAACGCAACCTCGCCTCTCTGGCTTTGTCTCCATACTGTGCAACCTAAGCTGTCCCTGTAATATACGCATTAAACATAATGCAAATCTTAACATCTTTAACTCTGCCTCCTGTCATTTAGTCAGTGCCACCATCTCCAACCCATATAGTGTAGCTGGTCTCACTTCCATATTGTAAACCTTCCCTTTCAGTCTTACTGATACCCATCTGCCAAATATCAGTCCTGCCACTCTTCTCCACCCACACCACCCTGCCTGCATTCTCTGCACTCTCCCATTTATCCGGGCTTGGGGACTGGCACAAAGAAATACACTGGCTTGTGCATCCCCACTGGCTGGGTAATATATGACTAAAGACACATTCATTTAATATGGATTGTACATGAATGTAGAGCTATATGCTTGACAGAACATTAATTTCTTATGTAATTTACATGAATATATGTCAAACGACACATTAAGTTAATATGCATTGTATATTTATTTTGAGTGTCACATAAAGAGCTTGTATGATTTGGCTAAAACACATCACTCTTAAAAACATTTCCAAATGAGTAGGATTAAGATATGCTGATTATTAACCACACAGGACTCAAAAATAAGGATATAGCTTAATTTGCGAACATACCCTGCAAATATTCCTGCTTCCGCTTACAGTGAACAATGCACAAGTTCCTGTGCAGAAACTTGATAGATTCATTATTTGAACAGTGGATAAAAGCTGCCCCCAGTGGAAGTACTTTGGTAAAGTGTGCATATTAACACTTTGAAATATACTGTAGGAACATTTACTGTACTCCCACTGAGTGGAGGCCAGGAGCAGACCCAAGACATACCGGAGGGACGTACCCACGGGAACATGAGGGGATCCCCCAGAACTGTAGCCTTGGAAAAAGAGAACTGGTCTGACCTGCTCAGCACACCACCTAAAATACTGAATTAAATGGCACCCTAAGCTATTATTTCATTAAAGGATATCGTAATCTGAGTCCTGCATCTGATTTTGTAGTTTGATCACGTTTCCGGAAACATATATTAAATAATATGTTGGATCTCGACGTACAGTAGTCAACTCCAAACATTCCCCATCACCCTGTAGAATCCACTGAAATTTTTTGCCCTGCTCTGTTATTGAAAATTCTTTCAACAGATGAATTACACATTCTAGCAAACCCTTCTTGTCGGGCATCTCCTGCTCCAACCAGCACTTAGTCTGGAGTACGTCTTTAATTCTACTGAAATGATGATATGGAAATCTGAGTGTAGGCTTCACTAAGAAAACCTTGGCATTCATGTCAATAAAATTTGTGGAGAATCTGATAGACAAATTATTGCATTCAATTCTGAGTTCTGTGTTGTTCCATGACTTCTCACCCAGGAGTATTTTTGCCTGTCTAAAGCAGGGATTTGTCTGATCTCGACATCGGTGCTCAATAAAATCATGTTCCTGTATGTTATCCTTTGTGAGCTTGTCCCCTACAAGCACATGCTGTTGAAGCTGAAGATAGCCAGAAACAAACCTGACCAAGAAGCAAACTCCATTGCTTCTATCGGGTTGTATTTTTACCATGAGGTTCTCTCCTTCAACAATCAGTGTGGCCTCTTCTACTTTGGCTGGTAACATGTGTCTGAGCCTCTCTTTGGCAAACTCCAGTCCAGCACTCAGGTCAGCACTCAGAAGCTTCTCTTCATTCAGGGAAGCCTTTACAATCATTATCATCTCTGTGCCAGTTGATTTTGTTGAAAAATGCTTTCTGGACAACCCAAAATCAAGTATAATTTTAGTTAATATGAGCATTTATGATCTCGTAATGTACTTGATATACTTTTATATCATATTAAATTTTAATAAATTAGTTATTATAACTCATAACATGATTAGGAAAAACTAGAAATAAAAACCTGATTAAATTCACAAATATATGTATCCAACATATTCATCCATCCATCCAGCTTCCAACTACCTGGACAAGGGATGAATATGAAGTGCCCCCCCCCCTCCCCAAAGGAAAGGAAAGGAAAACAATCAAAACAAAAACAGCTGAAACGTAAAAGTGAACAGTTATGTTTCACTTACACCGTAGTCATGATCTTGTGTTGTCTTGCCAAACCTGTCTGGTGAAGAAAATAATCGTAATAGTTTTCAAAGGATCTCACAAGACTAGGGAATGTTAAATAATTATAATTAGCATTTTTAAAGTATATTTAAGGTACTATTTATTTATTTTACATTTTAAAATGCCCAACCCCCCCTCCTCCCCATACATTAAGTAAAGCCACTCCAAACCAGCCCTCCCATGCCCACCCCCATTATGACAATACCGTATACAGATGGACAAGTAACACATGGGAGGTAGGACAGACAAGACATGACGTTGTAGGACCAAACAGATTGGCACAGACACACAACACAGGACAGCACGAAGCAAAGTCACACACTCACTGGGAGATTTAGGGTTTTCTATGTGTGAATATGAGTGTAATTATCTGTGTCATTCCATGTGGTAAGTTTACAAGCAAGTCCTGTGTGGTGGTAAATGAGCCCCAAACTTTTTTGAGGTCTAGGGTTTGGTGCTGTAGGGTAATAAGATCCATGGATATGTATTCTTTGAGTAGGTTTGACCATTGTGTAATATTTACTGTGTGTCTGGTTTTCCAGTTTAACAGGATAGTTTTCTTGGCAATAGCTAGGGCAACCAGTATGGGTTCTGTGTATTGCCGTGAATATGTGTCTGTTTCTAGAAAGCCCATTTTATACATCTTGTGCTGGGTGATGTGTGCTCCATGGATTATCTTATATTGAATTAGTGTTTTCAGTCATACTGAAGGTGTTCTTGCATACCTGGGTCCGGAATTCTGTGTTTGTTGTAGATGATAGGTCCTTTTCCCAGGCTCCGATTGGGATGGAAATTGTTGTACCTACATTGGATAGAAGTATGTATGATTTTGAAAGAATTTTCTTTGTGTCAGTTATTTTTTTAATTTCTTCTACAAGTGGAGATTATAGTAAACTGTTGTTTAATATATTGATCTTAGATTTAAGAACAGACTTTATTTGGAGGTACTGCCCAGAGGAAAAGAAAATTAGAAAAGAGCTCTCAAATATATTTCCTTTATTTCTCCTAGACAAGTATGAAGTCTGTGAGAAACCATAACGAGACTATGGCTTATTTCTCCTGTTTCTCATTTTATTCTCCTGAGCAAAAAGATGCACAAAATCTCAAATTAGACTCCTTTTAAGTTTCAAATGAGATTTCATCAAGGTCTAAAATAATTCTCATATTTTCTCAGCTTTTGTGTCTCTTTTTGATCTCAGGCAGAGAAAACCAAGAGTGCTCCCTATGAACTTATTCCATTCTCATCCCAACTTCTTTCCTATGTCTCGATCATACTAATTTCTCTGCCTTTAATGCATATATAATATCTTAAGTTGATCTCATTATCCTCCACACAATTTGTTTATAATTTTTAATATTCTGTTATAGGCTGAATGAATTCAAAATGACTTTATATGCTGCAAAGCTGGTATTGGTATAGTTATTGGTAATAACTATATTTTCTGTAAGTATCCCATGAGACATAATTCAGTTATGTTTCATGGACCACCTCATAAAACAGAGTTTAAGGCTACATTCACACTGCCAGCCACATTGTTCAATTCCGATTTTTTGCTCAGATCGGATTTGTCTATCTTGACGGTTCACATTCATAAGTACATGTGAACTGTATCATGAACGCATCAGTCCTCCGAAACGTCACGCATGCGCACATTGATACGTTTTTACACGACTTTTTACACGGGTAAAAAGCTGGTTGTAAAATTGGCACGTTGTGCGGCCGTGACCGCTGCGCTGATTCGAGTCTTTTGCCTCTTTAAACTTTGACTTCAGGCTCTTTATTTTTCTTTGGCATTGTAGCCACGTGGCAATTATTTCAAATACTACTATATTACGATAGGTTCCTTCCATTTTAGTTTGAACAGATTCATTTCCCCAAATAGTTTCATTTGCGTGTCCACACAGCCCTGAAAAGATCAGGGGTGAGCTTCCCGAAGCGTTCTTAACGCTACGTCGTTCTTAAGTTCTGTGTTAAAAGATATAACTAACGAACGACGTACTGTAGTGTTAAGAAGGCTTCGGGAAACTCACCCCAGATCTGTGTCACATTAAGGCAAAAAATCCGATTTGGATTTGGGTGGATTGTGTTCGGAGAGGGGAGAGGGACAGGCGCAGTTTTGCAAGAGACGGACAGGGTGAGGAGAAACAGGCGGATTAGCGGCTCTACGAGTATAATTTTAAAGCAACTTTAACTATATCGATATAAACGATATTGTCTCATCATATATCCCGTATGAAAACATATCGACATATCGTAAAAAGTCGATATATTGCCCAGCCCTAGTCTATATACGTATGTGTTTTAAAAAAAAACTTATCCCACTACCATTGAAATTCAATATTTGTCCCTGAAATCTAGTCGAATTAGATGTGCCATGAAATAAAAATACTGAACTAAAGTACAAGTATCTTAGAATTGTACTTAAGTACAGTACTTGAGTAAATGTACTTATAATTACTTCATACCACTTATACGTACATACCATCTTCCCACTGATTCACTTCCCAGTCGCAGATACTTTTTCCTACCTCTGAGTACAATCGAATTCAACATACCTACACTTGCGTACTACTACAAAAATTTAATTATTCATTCTTGGGTAAAAGTAATATTTAATGGCTTTATATCCACTTACCGCTTTCTGAAGTTGTACAAACTTGGCGCAAAAAGCTCTGAACTGTGAACCTTCTGGCTGATGTATAGGGATAATGTCAGAATTGGAAAATGTCATTGGTGAAGAGCGCTATCTATTACACATGGTGCATCGTGATTGGTTAATTTACAAATTAGGCTGACTTAAACTGTGACCGTTAAGTGAGCGCGAAAGATGCGAGGGACGAAGGAGAGAGGTACTGGCTGGTAAAAGAAAGAAAGACAGAAAGAAAGAAAGACAGAAAGAAAGAAAGAAAGAAAGAAAGAAAGAAAGAAAGAAAGAAAAAGAAGGAAGGAAGGAAGGACTTTTTTTGACTTGCACCAGCCTTTATTTAGTCAGTCAGTAATTACAGAAAAAAACCTTACTGCGACTTCAAATCACAAAATGGGTCATTATCACGAAATCAGACAAACAGAAAAACAAAATTAAACAATCAACCAAAAAAAAAAAAAAACAAGAGAAAATAGCCAGGGCAACCAACAAAGAAACACAAACAATACAATGGGCCCAAAAAAACATATGGCGAGTCAAACAATCGACACCATCAACAACAATACTAAAACTTCAAGAGTAAGTCCCCATCATGGGTCAAGTCACATAGAACCCCACCATAACCCCACACCTCCAAAAAAGTCACAAGGTTGTGAGTCACTCCGAAAAAAGCATGTTCAAATTTTATGCGTGCTGCCACCAAGCCCTTCATCATGAGGGCAGGATTCGTCGATCCTGCCCCCTTCATCCTATTCCTCCGAGTCAGCCAGATACTCATCTTAGCCTGGCCCAGCACGAAGTTCAGCAGACACACCTTAGCCTTCTGGGAACTACGGTATTTCGGCCCATAAATGAAAAGCTGAACAGAAAAAACCTCCCCAAAACCGACACACCACTCCTCCAGGACCTCAAACAACTCATAAAGCCGATTGCACCTCAAAAACAGAAAGAAAGAAAGAATTTTTTTTGTTAAATATAATTTGAGTGAAGTTTTGTATTTATGTTGGTTACAATACTTTTTGAAATCTGGTCGGCATGTGCGGCAAATAGTAATTACTGCAGGCTGTCTTCTGAAAACTGCGGGAAGCCGACGACTTCAGCCGAAATACTCTATTTTAATGGAGGTTGTAGCTTTTCAGTTATAGCTGTAACTTAATCATTAGAATCCGACATATGCAAGATGCGTTGATTTTCGCACCCATTAATCACAGGTTTGTAACTTTGGATAGGTGTACAGTACGTACGCCTAGCTCTCAGTTGGTCGCGAGCCCTGCTGAGGTAAATAGGGTCGCTGGCTTATTCGCGTATTAATCCGTTAATGACGTTAAAACTACGGTAGAAATTTTAAGAAGCGTCAAGATTTTATTGTTAAATAGATGTGAAATTAGTTTTTGTCTTGTTTGAACACTAGAATTACAATTGCGTATTAAGACTAACGAATTAATTTAGCCATCAATGTAGGGCTGCACATATTGAAAAATTACATCGCAGTATTTCATAATGTGATTAGGCCTGCAATTAAATGCTAATTGGAAAAGTAAAATCCTTAATACTGTAGATTTATCAAGGTAATAATTATGAAAATCGAGCCGGCCCAGTTTCATATGATTTGGGCTATGATAAAACACTGTTTCATACAACATTGTCTGACAACAGGCACAGAAATATGCTAATGGGACCAACTATATTGTGAATTTGGCTGCAACAAAACCATAAAAGTAATGATGGAGAGCAGGAGGTTGAATGCTGAGTAATAGGCTCTGGCTGCAGTGAATTGGGTCTGTATCGCACAGGAAAGACGGCAGCTTTCTGTTGATTTTAACTTTTATTGTGAACACTGGTTTTCCTCAGTACTCTGTATACTACCTATCTCCCCATACTCTGAGATGATGCCATCGTTCATCACGTTGTTTCATTTTGAACATTGTGATATGACAGTTCATTAGGCATCACCCTACCCTGTTTTGAGTAGTTTATAAATTAAGATGTAGTAAAATCTCCATTATTCACTCTGTCTTCATTTTAAGGTCTTTTTGTGTTTTTGACATTTGAGGATGGATACACTACAAAAATTTTTAAGGTCTGTGATATATTACAGAAAGATGATAAACCCATTGCTTGCTTCAGAGATCTGAAGCCAGGAGATATAGTACTGGCAAGTTGGTCTGACAACAAGTTCTACAGTGCCACAGTGGACTATATTGGAACAGCTGACAAGACGGTGGATGCTAAGAAGGGCACAAGGAAGGACATAAAAGCAAAAGATGCTGCTGCTGAGAGATTCTACAACCTCCCATCACTGCCTCAGGTAGTTCAATCCACCTCTGCACAGCAATACCCAATTTCTGTGGCGTGCAGTGTCAACCAGCCTCCACCTATTCAGTCACCTCTGCCTTATAAGCTACAGTCCCAGCCTCCACCTGCTCAGTCATCTCCTTCTACCCACCCACAGTATCAGCCTCAACCTACATGGTCATTGCCTGCTACTCAGCCATTGTACCAGCCTCAATGTTCTCAGGCAA